AACTCAGCATGTCCAAAACATAATTCATTATCTTTCTCCCAAAACCATCCCTCTTCTGAACTTCTTTATTTCTGTTAAAGGTACCATGCATCCTTCCATTCACCCAGCTCTGCAATCTAAGATTCATTCTTAACTGATTCACTCCATGTATCAATGAACAAATCCTGATTCTATCTCCATATCATCTCTCACAACCATCCCCTTTTTTCTACTCATGTAGCCACTACCCTTGTTTGAGGACCTCATCACCCCTCATCTAGACTATTTCAGTGGCTTACTAATGGGTCTCCATCCCTCAAGTTTTTCTCCTCTCCAATCCATCCTTTGCATAGTCACCAAAGTGATTTTTGCTAAAGCATAGCTGCTGAACACGTTGCTCCCCTGCTTAATAAACTCCAATATCTGCCTTTAAAGACAGGACAGGACAGGACCTGCATCTTCTTTAGTGAAGGGAACTTTCAGGTGAGGAAACCCATTTACTAATGAAGGTCAGCATCTTTTCTCTAACTTAGAGAATTACCTTAAGATAACACCTGTGTTTGGCATTTACTAACCTTTACTAACCCCTTTAAAATGATTTGCTAACTAGTTCTTATCTACCTTTCCAGCTTTATTATACACTACTCCCCTTTACACACCCCAAGCTCCAGCTAAACTGGCCTTCTGGCTCTTCCTTCATCTCCCCTGCCATTTTTTTGCACAGTCTGACCCCATGCCTGGAATGCACTCCTCTATCTTCTCTGCCTTCTGGAATCCCTAGGTTTGTTTGTTTATTTTGTTTTGTTTTGTTTTTCCCCCAAGCTTAGCTCACATACCACCTTCTACTTGAAGTCTTTCCTAATCCACCCAGCCAGTTATGCACCCTCCTCCTCCTCCTTGAACAAAATCATACTTTTTAAAATATGCTTATTTATGTATGCATTTTTCCCCCAATAGAATTTCATTCCTGTCTTTGTATCGTCTATATTGGCTCAAAAGTGCTCATTCATTGATCGATTCTTTACTTCTTACAGCTTAAAGCTTCACCTTTATGTCCCACCCAGACCATTTTACCCTCTGTTCCTTGCAGGGCTGCCTTGTTCTTCTCCATCTGGACTACTATCCTCTCTGCACCAGACCTCCTCCACACTGGACCTCCTAAATTTATGACCTCAGACTCCGAGAAAGCGAATCCACTCATCTTTGGAGTTCATCTGTCTTGATAGGTGACTGAAGAAGTGCAAATTGACCTAGTCACTAATTCTAGCTGGCCCCAAATTCTGAAGCATGCTTCATCTTCATAGCCCATTAGTCATCTAGCCAAGCCATCTTGCCATCTGCCTGCTGCTATGTGTGTGTATCTACCCATTCTGAGCCCAATAACCAAATCAATAGTGCCATCTCTTCATAAAGGAGTGTGTCAATTGAATGTCCTATGGATCTGTGACTTCCCAGACCAAAGCTCCCTCCCTTGGCCTCCACTCCACTATATGTATTTATGTTCCCCAATTAGAACGTAAACTCCTTGAGGGCAAGAACTGTCTCACTTTTTGCATCTGTATTTTCAATACTTAGCAAAATATCTGGCATGTAAGTGATTTAACATATGTTCACTCATTCACGTATTTTCATAAACTGGATTGGGATCACAATTTAAAGAATCAAAAAATATTTTTAAAACTGTACCTAATTGTTTAAAAATATCCCTTCATACACAAAATAACTACTAATCTAGCACCATTCTTGGCAGACCTCAAGCACTATTTGCTTACTGTGAAATACAACCACATGATCAAAGGTTTAAAGCGCAGATGGAGACTGGAAGCTATCTAGTCAAACCCTCTTATTTTGTAGATAAGTGAACGATGAGCCAGAGGTAGAAGGACCTGCCTAAAGGCACACAAGTGAGAGAAGCAGGCTCTGAGCCTATGTCCTCGATGTCAAATCCAGGGCTTTCCTCATGGTGCAGGTATCGAGTTATAAAGGAAAGGAAGAACTACTTGACTGCTATGTAAGAGTCATAGACTCTTTGAATTGGAAGAGACCTTAGAGGTGCAGTCAAGCTTCCTGTAAATATAAAAATACCTCCTAAAATACCTCTAAAAAACATGACCATTCAGCCCCTACACAAATACTTTGCATGGTAGGGGCTGAGTACTTCATAAGGCAGCCCCTTCCAACAGCTGGGACAGCAATAACTACTTACTAAATTTCTTCAAGCCAAGATTTATTTCCCTTCAACTTCTGTTCATTGGTTTTGTTAGTTCTCAAGAGAAATTTATCCCCTACTCTACATGACAGTGACGGCCCTTCAAATACTCAAAGATAGGCATCACGTCTCTGTTTTGCCTTTTCCCAAGCAACATCTCTCTGTCGCCTTCAACCATTCCCCATATGATGTGGTTTTCAGACCCCTCATTAGTATATGTAGTATATATTAGTGTATGCCAATGTCCCCCATGTATCAAGGGTGGGATTATGAGAGCACTTCTCAATCCCTCCCTGCACACACATACACTACCAGGGGACACATGTGCCCAGTCCTGAAGGACTTGGCACTTTGGAATGATGAAGCCATCTGCTGGCAGAAAAGGAAGACAGGGGCCCAAGGTCAGGCTCAAACTGAGTCTGCCATCTTCTGAGTGCCATGTTAAGCAACTGTCATTATTGAGGGTGGGGGTGGGAGAAGCATCCGTATACACCCCTCCTATCCTCCCACCCCCCATAGGAAGATCCAAAAAACTCCATGCCATGCATTCTAGAGAAAGGAAGAAAAGGGCAAGAGCAGAAGTTGTATCTCCTTTTAAAGTGTACTGACCGACTGGCTCTTCCTAGCTCCATGGCCAATTCTCCTTTGATGCACCTCCTCCTTCTTAACCTTGCTGCTCCTCATTCTCCTTATCTACAAAAATGAAGAAGCTGGGTTTGCTGGCTCCTGAGATCCCTCTTAGCTCTAGGGCCGTGATCCGATGGATCTCTGTGCTATGGAGGCAGAACACACACAGGAGGTGCCATGGAGAGGCACCGCATTGGAATGACCAGATCCTGGCTTTCATCCCTGCTGCTGTCACAGGGACAAAGGCCAGCAAACCCAACTCCCTTATTTCACAGAGAAGGAAAAGGAGGCATATCGAGGTTCCAAGTGACTTGTCCAAAGGCACACAGGTTGGTTGTTGTCCTCATTTTCAAAGAGGACCAAAATGACACCACTCTGCTCGAGTCGAGTTTTAGTGTGTCGGTCTGTGGCTGAGCAGACCAATAATATGAGCTGGGAAGGTTGGGCACAAATAGTCCGTGTGAACCTTTGGGGTGGATTCTCTAGGTCTGCGTATCTTGTGCTTCTCTTGAGCTCCTTCAATTCTGCTTTGCTCACAGAGCACAGCACCTCTTCTGTTGTGGGGACACCTCGCTGAGTGGTCCTGTGTTAGTGTCTCCCATGTCACACAATCAATTCCAAAGTTCTTAAGATGGGTCTTGAGAGTGTCCTTGTACTGCTTCCTCTGACCGCTGTGTGAATGCTTGCCCTGTGTGAGTTCTCCATACAACAGTCTTTTTGGCAAGTGGACGTTTTGCATTTGAACAATATGGCCAGCCCACTGGAGTTATTCTCTCTGAAGCTGAGTTTGAATGCTTAGCAGTTTGGTTCAAGAAAGGACCTCAGTATCTTATCCCTGCCAGGTGATCTTCAGAATCTTCCTAAGACAATTCGAATGGAAGCAATTCAGTTTCCTGGCATGGCGCTGGTATACTGTCAATTCATACAACAGTGAGGTCAGCACAACGGCTCTGTAGACCTTCAGTTTGGTAGTCGGTCTAATACCTCTTCTCTCCATACTTTCCACTGAGCTAGCTCTGGCAACGTGTGCATCAACCTCATTATCAATGTGTACATCTCTGGAAAGTACACTACCAAGGTAAATGAACTTATCCACAGCATTCAAAACTTCTCCATTTGCTGTAACCATGGTTCCACATATGGATGGTGGTGGTGGCTGATGGAGCACCTGTGATGTCTTGGCGTTAATTGTTAGGCCAAAATTAGCAAAAGCAGCAGAGAATCAATGCATGCTTTGTTGCATCTCAGCTTCAGAGGCTGCATTGAGTGTGCAATCATCTGCAAACCGAGAATCACGCACCAACTCTCCCTCTACTTTGGTCTTGGTTTGCAGTCTTTTCAAGTTGAAGACTTTACAATCAGCATGGTAGTTGACCTTGATGCCATGTTCATCCTCATTGAAAGCATTTGACAACATGGCTGAAAATATCATGCTAAAAAGCATGGAAGCAAGCACACAGCCCTGGTGACTAGGAAAGCATGACAGCATTGTCCATTATCCAGAACCCAGGCAAGCACGCTGTCATGAAATTGATGTAAAATGCTGTCTATCTTTTCTCCTTACAATCCCATAGTCTATTAAATGCCAATGTTTGCGCAAGGGTGCATCCGTGAAGTCTTCTTGTGTTTAGGTAAATGGAAGACAGTGTTGGTGATGAGAAGGTCATGAGATGCACAAGTCTTCAGTAGTGAGTGACCATTACTGTTGCTGTTTCCAGCTCCATTCCTCCCTAGGACTCCCTGCCGTGTCTGGTAGTCTGACCTTACTCTAGCATTCAAGTCACCCAGAATTATAAGCTTGTCCTCTTTTGGCACATTGATGATAAGGGTCTCCAGGTCTTCATAAAAATTTTTCTTTAACATCAGCAGAGTTCATCATGGAGAGAGCACAGGCGCTAGTGGTGATGGCGTGACGTTTTCCTGCAAGTGGCAGTCACTTTGTCAGGAGCCTGTCGTTCACTCCTTTTGGTAGCCATACAAGCTTGTTGAGCAGATTAGTTTTGATTGCAAAACCTACACCACCTTCATGTCGCTCCCCTTGACTGGAGCCACTCCAGAAAAATGTGTATCCAACTCCCAACTTCAGTAAGCTGGCCTTCATTTGCCAGCCTTGTTTTACTCAGGGCTGCTATTTGGATACTATACATGCTGAGTTCTCTTGCAACAAGGGCTGTTTGTTTTTCAGGTCTACTGGATTTTGTGCTGTCTATAAGTGTGCACACGTTCCATGTATCGATGGTGAGTGGAATCGTCTTTGCAGACATTTTTGTACACTTTTTGTTTTGACTGTAGGGTGGGATTCCCCGCCTGCCATCGTAATCAGGCCAGGGTTGGGTAAGCAGACAATTTTTAGGGCACCTTTTCTAGCCTCTTCCTCACACCAGAGAGTGAGCAGTGTGATCCTTAAAAGGCTGCTCAGATACCCATGGGGCTGCCGAATCCCAATGCTGCTTCCAGCGAGAAACGACTCTATGGCCTGGGCTGCCTGTGTGTAGGACTATGACTACAGCTCCCAGTGTGTCTGCACCTGCTGCTTCATTACTTGCCTGTCACCATGGGACTTTGAGATAGGTAAAATGGTAAAATGGTATGGGTGATGTTCTTTGATTTGTGCATAAATTGGATTTAAGTGAGGCAGACATGCATGAAGTTGTCGGCCTCATTCCTCCAGAGTCATCACAGTCCAGTGGCAGGACAGAATCAAGATGACTGGTGATAGCTCAAGATGCAGTGGATGACCTTGGCATCTCTGATGTCTAAGCAAGCTCTAAGTGCTCCACAGTGCCTGCTTTGGCTACCTTCATGGCCATTGGAACAAACTGTTCTCATCTGCCCATTCCATCAGGGGATATCGTTACATGCTTGGGGCAGACACCCCCTAATTCACTGACAGGTTTAAGACCCCTTGGTTACCCTTGACCTGGTTTAGCCCATCTGCCAAAACAATTTACTGGGGTGTGGCCATGGGCATGCTACAGCTTCTTGGAGCCACAGGTGAGAGTTAGGTGGAACAGGTGGACACCAAGGGTAGAAAGCAGCCCTGGAAAGGGCTCGGCAGCCTTCACACCAGAGGTACTAGTCTTCCCTGAACACACTCTACACCTCTACTCCCCCCTCCTATCAATTCTCAAGCTTGTTGTGCCTCACTTATACAATTTGTAATAAAATTTAATAATTGTATTAAAATGCTTTCTCTCTCCTACTGGTCTTTGCCTGTGATTTATTTATTTTCCCCCAGGGTATAATACTGTGCTTGGTACTTATTATGCACTTTATAAATGTTTGTTGAATGAATGACCTATTTCCTTTATTTCACCTTGGCTTCACTATTTCTTTCCGCCCTAGAATCAGTAGGCCTGGATCTGAAACTCACCTCTGACACCTACTAGCTATGTGATCACAGGCACTTCACAATTACTTAGCATCTCATCTCTCCTCTGTGAAATAGGGGAAAGAGTCTTTAAACTGCCAATCTCATCATTGTTGGGGGTTGCGAAGGACCACCTCTGCCAATACAAATAATCAGCTGTTCTTGGGGCAGCTAGGTGGCGCAGTAGAGTGCTACCCCTAAAGTTAGGAAAACTAATCTTCCTGAGTTCAAATCCAGCCCTCAGACACTTCCTAGCTGTGTAACCCTGGGCAAGTCACTTCACCCTGTTTGCCTCAGTTTCCTCATCTACAAAATGAGTTGGAGAGGGAAATGGCAAACCACTCCAGTATCTTCACCAAGAAAACCCCAAATGGGGTCATGAAGAGTCAGACACAACTGAACTATGATGACAACAACAGAAGTCTTACTTGGGGGCACTGAAGATTTAAATGACTTCTCCAGGATCACACAACCAGTAAGCACAACCAGAAGAAGCAAACTTGAATCCACATCTTCCTGACTCTCAGGCCGACTTATTCTCCACGATGTTATACTGAATCAGGAACGAATAATTCCCATACAAAGTATATGTAGATGAACAGATAAAGAATCCTGATATGTTTGGATTAGGAGAGTCATCATGGAGATACCTCAATTTCAGATATCTCTGTCCAGATAACCAATTCAAATCTGCTGCCAGCCCAGGTCTTTCCCTTCCTGGCTTACTGAGAAGTCTATATTCTTTATGGAATTTCCTTGCGTGTCTAAGGTGAGCTCTTTGAATCACTCGAGGAAGCAGGCTCAATGTTCAATCCCAGTATCTCCATTTGCCTCTAAACTCACATAGCCAAATTCCCATGGGAGATTTTCCACTAGTACCTCGGACTCAACATTCATGAAACTCAACTGACCATTATTCCCTCCCAAATCTACCCCTTCTTCCAGCTTCTCAATTTATGCTGATGGCACAACCATTCTCTAGATCACCCAAGTCCCAAACGACACAGTTTGGGATCTCCCCAAATTTGATTGAGGTCAAGTGCTGTTGCTTTTACCTTCACATCTCTTATATGACCTCCTTCTCTACTCATTCAGAACCTCATTTGATTTGATCATTTCTCCTGGGACTACTGTAATATTCTTCTAACTGGTTGCCTGCCTTCAGTCTCTCCCTTCTTTAATTCATCCTTCACAGGATCATACAGTGTAAGCTGGAAGGGACCTTAAAGATCTACCTATTCCAACCCCTTCATTTTAAAAATGAGAAATATGAGGCTCAGAAAGATTAAAGTGGCTTCCAAAGTCACACAGTTTAGTAAGTGGTAGAAGCCTGGATTCTAAGAGGTCACAGAATCATAGAATCTCAGAGCTAAAAGGGATTTCAGAGGCCACCCAGTCAAACCCATATCTAAACAAGAACCTTCCTACAACATGCCCAGCAAGTGATCATTGAGCCTTCACATGAAGGTATCAAATGAAAGGTTAACTTTCTACCTCCTAAGGCAACGCACTGTACCTTCAGATAGCAACTCGGGTCCATGTCTAGTGCTTATGCCACTGTACCATGTGCTTCCCACCATGGCTGCCAAAATAACCTAATTTATAGGTCTGAGCATTACCCCTCTGCTCAAAAACTACCAGCGGCTTGCTAATCCCTGTTATGATAAAATACAAATTCCTCAGTCTGACATCATGGTCACCTTCAACCTGGCTCTGAACCACCTGTCTAAACTTAGTTCTCATTCTTCTTCTTCATGCACTTGAACACTCCTGACAAGCTCTTCCCTGAGATAAACCTACCACCTCCTCTTGCTGTACATTCATTCATCCCCCATGCTAGGAAGGCACTTCCTTCTCATCTCTGCCTGTTCAAATTCTTCTCTTTCTTTAAGGTTCAAGCTCAGATAATATGAAACTTTCTTTGACCTTCCCAATCAGGGTGCTGCAGTAGGCCTAGGACCTTGCTAGATATGATGAACCCTCACCAATCAGGAGCACAGGGCTCGAGGTGGGAGCCCAGCAACACAGCAGGAAGATGACCAGTGCAACATGGTGGATTTAGGACCAACGAGATTTGGTGAATTCCTAAGCACCTTTGTACTCCTTGGTGGCTGCAAAGAATAAGATAAAATGTTAAATGCTCTGCAAAACTTGCTCTATAAATGTGAGTGATTATTATGATGATTATTTTATAGGGAGTATATAATATGAAAGCATCTTGACCTTCAAAGTCAAGAGAGAGCTGGGCTTGAATCCTGCCTCTGACACTTAACAGCTATGTAACCAGGGGAAAGTCTGAAGCATTCCAACCTCAGTTTCTTCATCAGTAAAACGAAACACCTATGTTACTTATTTCACCGGACTACAGTGAGGATCAAATACATATAAAGCACTTTGCAAACCTAAAGCTATAAATGTCAGCTTCCTATCGCTTTGATATTCAGCACTGAACAGAGAGTTGTTAAACTGTACTGGATACATAGGATCCACTGACCAAATGCCTTTTTGCCTTAAACCATTCTGGTTTACATTTGTTAGGTCAGAGTTCAAGTCTGTTGCCTTCTCCTTCCTATTATATCATATTAAATGATCCATATTTTCTCAACAAGGCCTTCCCCGTATTTCTTAAAAGAGCTAATTACCTGCTCAACTGCCCTGTTTCACTCCCTATGGAAGCCACCACACCACTCGCCTATAAGTTTACCTGGGAGTTTAGAGCTTATGAAAATTGCTCAATTATAAATTTCAAACTTAGCCATGCCAGAGTAAAAGTTGTGAACTATTAACCAAGCAGTCCAAAGTGGAAATGGAACTGGAACCTGCACAAGATTCTGTGCTTCAGGGACCACATTATCTCTCTCATTTAATTACTCCCTCTAAGTGTATCCTCATTATTTCTCTGTATATCCCTAATCCGTCTAACTTTGCCAGCTCACTGGGCAGGGACTATATCTAATTTCATGCTCACTTAAGCACTGTGGAAGCTCAATGTCATAATATTCCCAGTACTGCTATTGGTTCTCTGACTCAAAGTCAATCTTTCTCTGGAGAAATTTCCAGAATTTCTTATCTCCCAGGTCCCAAGGATGCAGTGAAAATAAATGAGTAGTATCTAGAGATCACTTTCAGCTACCTGTGAATGAGAGATTTAGGGTCATTATATGTAGCTAAGAGATAATTCTTTAAATATTTACATTAGTAACAAAAACAGGCATATGTGCTAAGGGTGCCTATTCACCATGGGCAAGTGATTATGGATGGCAGGTGTCTTCCCCTTTTTATATGCCTTCCTCATAACTATTTTAATGCAGTGAAGAAAGGACAGGTGTTGCTGCAGTGGGGGCTATCTTAACAAGTTATGAGCTACATTATCCCATCAACATTATCTAGCAGGGCAATTTCTAATTAAGGAAATAATTTTTAAAATGTTAAAGCATTTATTAAGCACCTACTATGTGATAGGTGGGGCAGCTAGTAGATAGAATGCTGGGCCTGAAGACAGGAAGATTCATCTTCCTAAGTTCAAATCTGGCCTCAGACACTTACTTGCTGTGTGACACTGGGCAAGTCATTTAACCCTGTTTGCTTCAGTTTCCTTATCTATAAAAATGAGCTGGAGAAGGAAATGGCAAACCACTCCAGCATCTTGATCAAGAAAACCCCAAATGTGGTCACAAAGAATTGGACATGAAAAGACTAAACAACGACCAAAAAAAAATGTGATAGGTGCCAGGAATACAAATATAAAAGTGAGACCATCCCTGCCCTCAAGAAGCTTATATTTATTTAATAAAAGGAAATACATAAAGGGGGGAGATGGCAGAAAAGGGACTTTTGACCTGAGGAATCCCAGGGATAAGTGGACCTA